GCGTGAGAATACCATGCGTGAGAGTACCATGCGTGAAAGTACCATGCGTGAGAATACCATGCGTTAGATTACCACGCGTTAGATTACCACCCGTTAGATTACTATACGATAGAATGCCACGGGTCAGATTACTACATGAGAGATTACCACACCTTGAATCTCCACGCTTTCGAGTACCACGCATGCTACTTCAATGTGCCAGACTACCATATGTCAGATATCTACTCATTAGATTACTACGCCTTGAGTCTCCACGCTTTCAAGTACCACGCATGCTATCTCTATGTGCCAGACTATCACGTGTGATATCACCAGGCCTTGGACTATCACGCATGATATCCCCACGCGTTACATCACACATTCAGCTACTCCGCGTAATAATTTGATACCAGTTATCGTCTCGCGTTGCATCAACATGCGTACCGCAACGCGTTACATCACCACGTTCCACATATTGAATTACCTCGCATTATATCGCCATCGTATATAATATTATCATACTAATTTTGCTTATAGGAACTACTCATTTCGACGATGTGGGCTACATATTTCACGTGCAAGACCTAGACGTGCCCAAAGATAGAAATGACCCTTTCAATCGATTCAGGAGGAAGATGGTCACCTTCTGGGCTAACTTTGCCAAATACGGGTACGAAATTAAAACAAAGATAATTATTCTCTTAATTGATAATTAATTCTGTCTTTCAGAGATCCAACGCCAAAGCATCTAAAGAAATCAGAATACAACGTAACTTGGGTAAATTCTGGTCAGTCAGGTTGGCAATTGGACATCAACAAAAGTGACGTCTTGTACAATCGCACGGTGGACGAACACACAGAGACTTATCCAAAAATTTTGTATTCAGTGTTACCAACCATCAGTTCCTGCGTAAAGATACCTACTCGCAGAGATATTTTTTGATCTTTCTGTCAGCACATTTTACGATGACGAGTTCCGTGAATTTTATCTCGACTGATAAATAATAGCAAATACGGGAGAATTGAAGCAGTCTGTACAATCGTTGAATAAATGATACTGGTTAAACCTACCTGCAAATATTTGTGAATTTTTTGTAGCTCGAATTTGAGTATGAAATATATTTACATGATTTGAGTTCTGTTTTATTTAACCCTTTCGTTGTAGTATGTTTAAAGAGTTATTAATTAATAATAAGAAATTAGTATATTATTTAATGAAGATGGTTATGGTACATTTCGAAAGAAACATCCATGCAAATAGCCATTATAATTTTTATGTTATCGACATGATTCATGTATTTTATCGCTGTAAGCCGCAGCTCTTTGCCACGGAATTATCTCCGATACGAGGAAAAGGAAAATCTCTTTCGAAACATGCAGAAAGTCGCTGAATGTATTGCGTGTACATGACATTTATAATTGCAATTTACTGGAGAAAAATAACCTGTGCTTTCGTAATAATGTAGATGTGTACTGTGTCTATTTATTTACCTGTCAACTATTTACATTATTTGCAAATCAATTGTAGTAGAAAACTTGTGAGAAGTAATCAAAGAACATAGTGTTTATACAAAAATGTATAATGATCCACTGAATGGTAAGTTACTTTGCAAAATGTTAGGTTACTGCGCGTTGGATATCTACGCGTTAGATTACTACGCGTTGGATTACCACCCGTTAGATTACCACACGATGAATTTCGACGCGTTAGATTACCACTCGTTAAATTTTTACGCGTTAGATATCCACGCGTTAGATTACCACGCGTTAGATATTCACGCGTTAGATTACCACGCGTTACTTTACTACGCGTTAGATATCCACGCGCTAGATTACCACGCATTACTTTACCTCGCGTTAGATATCCACGCGTTAGATTGCCACGCGATGGATTACCACCCGTTAAGTCACGACATGATGGATTTCGACGCGCCAGATTACCACCCGTTAAGGTGGTATACGATAGATTACCACTCGTTAGATTTCTACGCGTTAGACATCCACGCGTTAGATTACCTCCCGTTAGATTACCACACGATGGATTTCGACGCGTTAGATTGCCACTCGTTAAATTTTTACGCGTTAGATTACCACGCGTTAGATATTCACGCGTTAGATTACCACGCGTTACTTTACTACGCGTTAGATATCCACGCGCTAGATTACCACGCATTACTTTACCTCGCGTTAGATATCCACGCGTTAGATTGCCATGCGATGGATTACCACCCGTTAAGTCACGACATGATAGATTTCGACGCGCCAGATTACCACCCGTTAAGGTGGTATACGATAGATTACCACTCGTTAGATTTCTACGCGTTAGATTACTACGCGTTGGATTACCACTCGTTAGATTACCACACGATGGATTTCGACACGTTAGACTGTTAGACTACCACCCATTAAGGTACTATACGCTAAATTATCACATGTTAGATTCCCACACGATGTTTATACAAGAAAAATATCCAAGATGTACAAACAAAAACTTGTGTTACGTTCAGTTTATCTCTGAAAGTTTTCCATTTATAAATTGCCTTATGGTTACTAGTAATGAAGAAGGTTAACGAATCGATGTAAAAAAAAAAGTATAAAACAGAAATATGGAAGCAGGGAAGTGGACTTGGCAGTTCGAAGACAAAACCACAGTCGTTATTTCCTCTCTGATAAACCAGATAATAGCGTTCATAAATCAATCGCTAAACAACGCGACGTTTTCACGAAATTCCACGTGTTTGAAAACAATGTCGACACGGATTAATTATAATGTCTTTTTTAAGAATCAAACAGAGAAACGCTAGCAAAGTCAATAGAAACTTCTGTGTAACGCAGATAGGTCCTACCGATTCTTGATCAGTATCATTCCTCTCGTGTTCGCGATTTCAACTTTGGATTTGTTCGACCCACACGTGGTTCGTTAAATTTCCATCGTAAATTCCATCGTGTTATAATTAGTGAATTTGATAATGAGATAACGGCTTAGTGAATTTGTGTTGTAGTTACATTTAGAAACTTAATAGGTCTTCCTTTCAATTTTGGAAACTTCATTTAAATTTTGAAAAGAGTTTTGTTTGAAGACGTTCATATGTGCAAATGTGTTAAGAACCACTTTCAAATTATTTATTTATAATTTGTGATCTGAAATGACTAAATAAATATAATGTATTTTATTGAAGTTTGTGCTGCTTAGTGTCGATTGTTCACTTTTTGGAATAATAAATTTATGTTCGTTTTTAAAGTGACAAATTAATGTTCACTTTTTGAAGTAACAAATTGATGGTCGTTTTTAAAGTAACAAATTAATATTCACTTTTTGAAGTAACAAATTAATGTTCATTTTACAAAGTAACGAGGTTGATAAATTACTTCATGAATTAGCTCTTTAAGATCAAGTTTATTGCTCTTATTGAATATACCTTCACAAAGAAAGTTTATCGACAGAATTTGTATTTAACATTATTATCTCGCTCTCAGTCAGCTGATTAAGATTAACAGTTCACCTTCTTAATAAATAAATACCACCGGAATTAAGTATAGCCCTGGCTCGTTAAATCCTTGGTAAGCACCCGAATTCTGTAATAAACTTCAGACAAATAAGTCGAAAGTTCCACTTTGTTCCCATAATTTTTTCCATAGCCGCGTTTATCGGAATCGACCCGCTTTCAAACACTATCGACGTCATATTTTGCGTTCGCGTTATCGTGTTCGTTAGTTGAATTCTTAACAACGCGAGGCATGTGACTATGTCACATTGGCAGCAAAACATAATGATTCATTAGCTGAAGAACAAGGAAAATGGAGGGAGACTGAAGAACAGAGGGAAATTTACATAAAATGGAAATTGAGTATTATGTGAATTTTAAATTTCGATTCAAAAATGTTGGAAAATTGTTAGGTGATCAAATGTTGGATTATTCGATGAATTATTCCTCGTAAAATATTAAATAAAACATAAAATTGAAACATTAGTTCATTAAATGAAAATAATTGCAATCAAAAAGTGTCTCAATTTCTGCCACAAAGGTCAAACATTCAAAGGTGTCGACATTCCGTTGAGACATCAGATTAATGACAGAGGAATGTAGTAGCAAAGGAAAGACTTAAGAAAAAATGCAATCAAACATTTCATAACGTGACTTATCACTGACGTCTTGGTCTACCGATACTGTGTACGCGTCGATCAATCGTTAAGATACTCGTTGAATAAGTCGGATTTTAATTGAAAGTTCGACGAATTTAATTTCATAGTAATCGAGAGATCTTTGTTTGAAAATTTGGGGAGTTGGAAATTTGGGAATTTGGAAATTGGGGGATTTGGGAGGTGGGGAATTTGGAAATTGGGGATTTGGGGATTGGGGAATTTTGGAATTGGGGATTTGGGAATTGGGGGATTCAGGAATTGGGGGATTTGGGAATTGGGGGATTTGGGAATTGGGGAATGGGGAATTGGGAAATGTGGAATTGGGGAATATGGGAATTGGGGAATGTGGGAATTGGGGAATGTGGAATTGGAGAACGTAGGAATTGGGGAGTGTGGAATTGGGGAATAATGTGGGAATTGGGGAATGTGGGAATTGGGGAATGTGGGAATTGGGGAATGTGGGAATTGGGGAATGTGGGAATTGGGGAATGTGGGAATTGGGGAATGTGGGAATTGGGGAATGTGGGAATTGGGGAATGTGGAATTGGAGAACGTGGGAATTGGGGAGTGTGGAATTGGGGAATATGGGAATTGGGGAATGTGGGAATTGGGGAATGTGGGAATTGGGGAATGTGGGAATTGGGGAATGTGGGAATTGGGGAATGTGGGAATTGGGGAATGTGGGAATTGGGGAATGTGGGAATTGGGGAATGTGGGAATTGGGGAATGTGGGAATTGGGGAATGTGGGAATTGGGGAATGTGGGAATTGGGGAATGTGGGAATTGGGGAATGTGGGAATTGGGGAATGTGGGAATTGGGGAATGTGGGAATTGGGGAATGTGGGAATTGGGGAATGTGGGAATTGGGGAATGTGGGAATTGGGGAATGTGGGAATTGGGGAATGTGGGAATTGGGGAATGTGGGAATTGGGGAATGTGGGAATTGGGGAATGTGGGAATTGGGGAATGTGGGAATTGGGGAATGTGGGAATTGGGGAATGTGGGAATTGGGGAATGTGGGAATTGGGGAATGTGGAATTGGAGAACGTGAGAATTGGGGAGTGTGGAATTGGGGAATATGGAAATTGGGGAATGTGGGAATTGGGGAATATGGGAATTGGGGAATATGGGAATTGGGGAATGTGGGAATTGTGAAATGTGGAATTGGGAAATGTGGAATTGGGGAATGTAAAATTGATGAATGTGGAATTGAGGAATGTAAAATTGATGAATGTAGGAATCGAGGAATATGAAATTAAAAATCTCCTCCAAATGAAATCTCTTCTAAATGAATCCCCCAACATCGATCAAACTTTAGATAAAAATCGAATTACACTAAACACTTCACAATCTCAAATCTCCACAGTCCACTCCCCAAAACTCAACTTCTCAAATCCACACAAATTAAAGACCTTGCGAACATCAACGAAACGCTTTCGTTTACCATTGCCCGAGACAAATCATTTAATTAACGAGTTCTGCCGTCGACACATTACATCAGCACAATTAATCGATGGTTATATCAGCCTCCGAGATCGTCCGCATCTTCAGGAGATGTTTTATTTGGCAGCTGTGGCACGTGACTGCATTCCAATGGAAAATGCGAACAGTCGATTTCGCTGTCGTGGAAGATTCGTTAGTAACCGATAGTCGCTGCAGGCGTTTATCGTTTTGCGACTACGATCCTCGCACGATCTTCCTACTTTTATCGCTAGAACTCGTCGGAACTCGCGAGCGTGCGGCTCGCTGCTTACTCGCGTTCATTTTCTAGTGTGTGTCGCAGCGGAACTCGAGTCGTCATGATGTCAGGTTTCTATGAATTTTCATGTCACCCTTTGGATGTTCTCTCGGGTCACAGTGTTCGGATTAATTCCGCAGTGAAAATGGATGGGTGTAACTATCGAGACACGTCGATTGTTGTGAATCAAATCAAAGTCAAGGTTTATCGTATGTGGTACTTTGTAATTCGTTTCATGAACAACATATAGGTTGTGCTACTTTGGAATTCATTTCTTGTACAACATTGTATATTGTGTTACTTTTGAATTTATTTTGGAAACTGTGGTAGACATTTTTGACTTGAAAAATTGACGCAAGGAGAGATTGTTTAGTTTGAAAAATTTTGCAAACACTTTGGGAAGACATGAGATGGTTCAATATTTGTAATGAAAGGTGTGGAAAGATTTGAGATAATTGTTCTCGATCATCGCAATTGACTTTCAAGTTAAATTTGATCAAATTCAGTGGAATTAAATTTTATCAATGGTGATAATCATGCTAAACAAATCAGTTTTATAAATCAATTTTATAGATCAATTTTATAGATCAATTTGATAAATCAATTGTATTGTTTCATTTTATAAATCAATTTTATAAATCAATTTTATAAATCAATTTTATAAATCAATTTTATAAATCAATTTTATAAATCAATTTTATAAATCAATTTTATTATTACATTTTTTAAATCAATTATATTGTTTCTTTTGAAATAATTCTTTTCACAATTATTCGATTAAATTATATTTGTGATCAGGTCACCGATGGCTTCTGGCAGTTAACGTGTTAACGCGTTGTGGTGGGAAGAGATATATATAGAATGCACTATACTTGCAATTATGCAGAGTACTACAATGCTGTTTTCAAATTTAAACATGCCATTTATCATACGAAATTAATACATGACGTAAATGCAAATTACAATTGCCTTTAATAGAGGAATGTTTCTGAATTCACACGTACATAACCTAAATACACAATTTCCTTAATCTACAAAATTTTATGTTCACTATTAATTACAATATAATTCTTCTGGTTTTAAATAAACTTGGTACTTGAATAAACTTAACTTTTATATAATTTATATGGAAATTAAAATTTCTTTTAATAGAGATATTTGTATCATCATATTTTAATGGATGTTTCATTCTGACCTAACCTAAATATTCAACTGCAATCTCTTGGTCCACAAAGATTAAAATAAGCGAAACATAAAAATGTCATATAGACTCATAGTAAAAAGTCAATCATTACATTTTAAGTAGAAGACTTTACAAGGAATAATATTTAAAATTTTAAACTTTTACTATCTGTCATCACTGACGCCAAAGTCCATTATTCTGCACCTGTGACCGTCGCAATAATTAAATCAAACAACTGGAAAAACAGAATTACAAACTGATGCAACAAGTTCAAGGTTTATAAATAACACCGATTACATATATGCAATTAACATCTCTTAAATTATTGGTAAGCACTACAAAATTTAATCGAATGAATACAATGTAAGATACAAATGCGTATTAACAACATTACTATCGAAGTAAAGTAACAAATTGAAAGTTTCAATTGACAAATTGAATCGTCGTATCTTTAATAGCTGTTATTATTAAGTGTCTCATTGCACGAGTCTATTTTCACTGTGGTACTCGAACGTATTAACCCGGTGATGCCGGGTCAATCGTGACCCAGATCTTCGAAACGTCCCTACACTCAAATTAGACTTAAACCTCTAAACAGGAGAAAAGGAACCGATGTGTGGAGGTCTAAGAAATATTGTTTGAACTGTAACAAAATTACATATATTATTACAAAATTTATTCCCTTATTGGAAGTGCCTTTATTATTTTATGAAGCTCTTGTGCAGAATTATTGAAAAATTTTTAAAGAAATTATTGTGTAAAATTATTAAAGAATTTTTGAAGAAATTTCTCTGTAGAATTTCTTGAAGAATTATTGAAATTATCAACAAGATTAATAATTCATAATATATTTATGAAAGTCGAAGTATTGGGAGATGTACTTGCTCTTTAAAAGAATAATCTACTCAATTCATTGCCTTTTACTTTATCTAACACCTGCAAATATTTCGATAAGCATCTTGATCAAAGTCGATAGCCATGAGCACCTTTTTTGAGACGCCCTGTATAAAGCTTTCGATAAACGGTTCATGTATTGATAATTTTTTTAATAGTTTACCCTCATACTTTTACACACAAACTTCTCCAATAATTTATGCAAAAGAAATTAGTTAGCAAATTGAGGTATTTCCATCTTAACAAAACTTGAAACATTTTCAAGAAATAAAAGTTTGAATTATTGTTCGAGCAGTGTCGACAGAACTTGCTGTCTTTGTTAGATAAGAATCGATCTTATTACGAAATAAATCACTCGATGAACACATGCAAACTTCTGCAACATACAAAATAGCTTCATGCTTATCAAAAGTACTGATTCCTCAAATTCAATGTCGTCAAATCTCCAAAGAAATTTTGACTAAAAAGCAGACCTTTAAATAGTTTACCTCAACATCTCAATTTACCTCCGCTTCATAAAAACTGAAATTCTCGCAATGTGAACACAAGATAAAATTGCAAAATCCATAAAGAAAGACCTCAAAAGGCAGCCACCTTATCACGTGCGATTGGCCGATCAATAATCAAGATTTAATGACTCGTGTCAAGATTGGAGAATTGTCTACGCGGTGGAGGGAAGGCCGTTCGAAAGTGGAAAACTCGTTTTTCTCGTCAGTCTTAAACACGTGCTCTAACATTCTCCGTGTTAGAGCACGTAACACATAATTGCGTTAAGTTTACGCAATTGCCCGTAATCGTCCACCACCGTGCGATAAACTTGCTCTTTTATTCGACATAAACTTCCGAACTGTTGTCCGGTGATCGTGCGTTGTTTGCGCCGAACAATCGGTTCAAGTTTTGCGTGCGATAGATGAAGCTTGAAATTCTCGTGGCAGATCGATCAACGGCACCTTGTAATTTGTTTCGCAGACTATCTCAGCGACGACATGTCGACGAGCAACCCGGAGTTGCTGGTCAGGCGACCGGTCTACCAGCAGGACGAGCTTAATCACTTGTATAAATACACGAAGCCCAGCGAAACGAGTAAGCGTTTTATGTGAGATCTTTGATGAAACTCGCAAGTGTGATATGTATTTGGTTATTTTTGAGGGACAGTTTTTTTTATGAACATTTTGGTTGAGTACATTAAGGTGTTGGTATACTGTGGTGCAATGTAGGCTTTGTTTTATGAGATTGCAAGGTTTCCAAATCAAAAGATCCTCACATTTTATAATTCCTAAATTGTAGGCTCTCTATGTCTCAGACATTACGAATCATAAAGTCAACAAGTACTTATGTTTCCAAACTAGTGACCCAATGTCGTAAAGTCTTTAAAATTCATACGAACTAAGCAGATCCTCAAATCCTGTGACATAATGTCGTCAGATTTTCAAGTCCTATGATCCAGTATCATCAGATACTCAAATTCAATGATCCAGTCTTGTCAGAAGACAAAATTCTATGACCTAGTCATGTCAGATATCAAATCTTATGACCCAATGTCGTCAGATCACAAAATTCATATGTTCCAGTCAGATCACACAATTCATATGTTCCAGTGTCGTCAAATAACAAAATTCATATGATCCAATGTCGTTAGATCCTCAAGTTCAATGACCCAATCTCAATAGATCCCCAAATACTATGACCTAGTATCGTCATATCCCCAAAATTCCTATGCCCCAATGTCGTCAAATCCCAAATCCTATGCCCCAATGTCGTCAAATCCCAAATCCTATGCCCCAATATCGTCAGATCCTAAATCCTGTGATCCAATATCGTCAGACCCCCAAATTTCAATAACCCAATATCGTCAGATCTCCAAATTTCAATAATCCAACCTCGTTAGACCTCCAAATCCTATGACCCAGTATCGTCAAATCCCTATAATTCAAATCATCCAATGTCGTCAAATCCCCAAATTCTTACGTCCCCAAGTTTCTAAAGCCCCAATTTCCCAAACACCTGAGTGTCTTCCTCCCCACATCCACATCTCTAAATCCTAAACTCCCCAAATTTTTAAATCCTCAAAAGTCTCCAAAGATCAAAGAATGAAAGGTCACATGATCATCGATTAAGTCGACACAATTTGAAGAAAAAAAGCAAGTCACAGAAACTGTATTCTCTTGTCGATCGCTTCTGACGATAAAATCACGTCAGAAAAGAATCATCAGTCACGATTGTCATAATGTTCGATCAACGTAGTTTTTCAGCACATATCTTCGAGGTGTCAGAAATTCCGGTTGCTGAATGCTGTCAAACAATCGATACCTTTAATCGGTTGGCTGTCGGCGTATAATTGGAAGCACGACATCTTTGGAGACATCGTTGCTGGAATCACCGTCGCAGTGATGCATATCCCTCAAGGTACAATCGTTTATCGATAATTGCTGCCAAGAATACCCATCATTTCTTTTATCTAAAATTATTTCATTTCTAATTTCTAATACCTTGATAACAGTAAAAATACTGAATTTTTTAAATGCAAAATTTGAACCCTGAATTTGAACTTTTTAATCCTAAATTTGAATCCTGAATTTGAATTTTTGAATCCTGAATTTGAATGCTGAATTTGAATTTTTGAATCCTAAATTTGAATCCTGAATTTGAATTTTTGAATCCTGAATTTGAATCCTGAATTTGAATTTTTGAATCCCAAATTTCAATGCTAAATTTGAATTTTTGAATCCTGAATTTGAATCCTAAATTTAAATTTTTGAATTTTGAATTTAAGTTTCCATAATTGTTTTATTGTACCATAATTTTTGGTAATAATGGCAAAGTTGTTCTGTCGATAAATAATTAATTTATCTTCAGGACTGGCGTACGCTATACTGGGCAACGTCCCACCGATCGTCGGGATCTACATGGCCTTCTTTCCCGTTTTAGTTTATCTGTTTCTCGGCACGTCCAAACACAATTCGATGGGTAAGTAATCTAACAAGATAACGAGTTACGACAGCTCCGTGATCGGTGTTACGAGGTTCAATAATTAACGGGAAAATTTATGGTGTTAGAGGAGCTTCGAATCGCTTCAACTAACACTTTATCGAACAGGAGACTATTAACACCTTGAGAGAAGGGATTTGTACGTATATGAACACTCAGAACAATTCTAACACGGTGACACGATCGAAGAAACACAAATTTCGAGTATAAATAACAAACCTAGGATAAAATTTGTTTGCACTGAAAATTATTTTAAATAATCTTGCAATCAAATTTTTAGCCAAACGAAGGCATTTATGCATCATGATTAAATTGTTTGTTAGGATTTTTTACCTAACTGTTTGTTATAATTTTTATGTCCAACTAGAACGTGTTAATAATTAAAGTAATGAACCGTTTAGAATTTTACTGATAATTCGACAATTTTAGTGATAATAACGAAAGTTGAAATGAATTCCAGTTAAAATGAATTTTAGTTGCAACGAGAGTAACTTCGACTAAAAATTATTCATTACTTTCACCTTGGACTCCCTCCAAATTTTTCTTACATTAATAAATTTTCGTACAGAAAAGTTATTCCTGAACTCCAAATATTTCATTTCGTTAGAAACTTTCTTGAGGTTAAACAATGTCCAACTCCGAATATAAATGACCTCCCCATCCCTATCTAAAATTCTACATTTCTCTACAATGATAATTTTCAGATCGTGTCACCAATTCCAGCACACCTATTATAACTCCAAAACAATACCTCATTTTAATCACACGATTTTTATTATGCGAAGGTACGTTCGCGTTGGTTTGCATGATGACAGGAAAAGTGGTAACGACTTACAGCACCCCATCACAAATCCAAAACATCAATAACGCTACGGAATATAATGAATCAACCACAAACTACCAATATTCCCCCATCGAAGTTGCTACAGCAGTCACGTTCACCGTAGCCATGATAGAGGTAATTGTCCTTCTCTATCGTCTTCTTTTTTACTCCATCCGGTAGGAGGGGCAACGTCTCTGTTAAACTCGTGATTTCCCTCAAGGAGAACCTCTCGAGCGTACCATCGATATTTAATCCTTTCGCTACGGTCCAATTATGCGTCCTTTGTGACTGTGGGTCAGATTTCATTATCGCGTTATTTATTACTTGCGCTCTTGTACTTCCTAAAGCTGTATTGGGTGTCCATTATGTTCGCATGTCTGTGATAGGTTTGAGGCTTGCTATTGGGGGATTTGGGTTAGGAAATGTTATTAGGAAATTTAGGGGTGTGAGGAATTGGGGGTGAGAAAATTTGGGGAAGTAGTAATTTGGAAAAGTGACTTGGAGAAGTGATTTGGGGGTGTGAGAAATTGGGAATGTGAGGGGCTGGGAAATTGGGAATGTGAGAATTTGGAGGTCTGAGACATTGGAGATGTGAGGATTCGAAAATTTGGGAAATTGGGGGTGTGAGAGTTTAAGGACGTGAGGATTTGGGAATGTGAGAATTTGGGAATGTGGGAATTGGGGAATATGGGAATTGGGGAATGTGGGAATTGGGGAATGTGGGAGTTGGGGAACGTGGGAATTGAGGAATGTGGGAATTGGGGAATGTGGGAATTGGGGAATGTGGGAGTTGGGGAACGTGGGAATTGAGGAATGTGGGAATTGGGGAATGTGGAAATTGGGGAATGTGGGAATTGGAGAATGTGGGAATTGGGGAACGTGGGAATTGGGGAATGTGGGAATTTGGGAATGTGGAAATTGGGGAATGTGGGAATTGGGGAATGTGGGAATTGGGGAATGTGGGAATTGGGGAATGTGGGAATTGGGGAATGTGGGAATTGGGGAATGTGGGAATTGGGGAATGTGGGAATTGGGGAATGTGGGAATTGGGGAATGTGGGAATTGGGGAATGTGGGAATTGGGGAATGTGGGAATTGGGGAATGTGGGAATTGGGGAATGTGGGAATTGGGGAATGTGGGAATTGGGGAATGTGGGAATTGGGGAATGTGGGAATTGGGGAACGTGGGAATTGGGGAATGTGGGAATTGGGGAACGTGGGAATTGGAGAATTATGGAATTGGGGAATTATGGAATTGGGGAACGTGGAAATTGGGGAATATGGGAATTGGAGAATTATGGAATTGGGGAACGTGGAAATTGGGAAATTTGGAATTGGGGAATGTGGGAATTGGGAAATGTGAAATTATGAAATTTGGGAAATTGAGGATGTGAGAATTTGGAAATACAAAAATTTGAAAGTGTAGAAATTCAGTACTGTACTCATTTAAAAACGTAAGAATTCCATCACACGTGGATTTCCTCACACGTGCATGTAACAATACAATAACTTCACACATACATCCCCAACGTCCCTCCTCAAAAAATTAAAAATATCAATATTCATCAATTCCCAACTTTTCCCCTCTATACCCATAACCTTGCAAAATTCTAACCTTCTAAAATAATTAATCTCACATTTGAATTCAGCTAGCAATGTACGTGCTACGCCTAGGAGTGATCGCCTCCCTGCTAGCCGACAGTCTGGTCAGCGGCTTCACAACTTCGGCAGCCGTCCACGTTTTCACATCTCAAGTCAAGGATCTATTGGGCCTAAGAAATTTACCTAGCCGAAAAGGAGCCTTCAAGCTAATCTTCGTGAGTATATCCATGATATTTGCTAACAAAACTGTAGGTAAAGGAAGCAATAAGCAATCTTCGTTACAATGGCGGCCATTAAAAGATAATCGGACGTGGCTGACAGGAAGATCGATGGCTTCCAAGTTTCTACAGGATCAAATTGCGAGGCGACCGTTAGTTAATCGATTGAGATGTCCGGGTTATCGATAGGTACTTTCTCCCCGCACAGGAAAAGATGAAATTGGAAGACAAGGTTGACTCCGGATAATCAACGATAAGGTTATAAGGTTTCTGTTCCACGAAACATGTGTTCCTAAAAGAACAGCAAACATGTTCTACAACTATTTTCTTTAAAAAGACATTTAATGACTGAATTTACGATTGCAAACCAGTTTTGTAATTCGATCAAAGGACAGATATTTCAATCGAAAACAAGGTTCCAACGCATCTAAATTATGCAATTTAAATTGCAACCGTTCCACGATTTCGTAATTGCAGCGATTTATCATCGCGTTACATCGATCGCTTGACACCTTTCTGATTACTCGGAACAGTCGGACAAACACACCAGTTATTTCTGACGTGATCAATACACGTGAGTTGTTATCAGAATTTTATCAATAACGATGTGGAAAGACCTTCCGATTCGTGCGATAAATGTTCGTTGACGGAACATTTGCTGAATGATCGAATTAAAAATTCAACGATAGTAGCAGGACATGAACAAACCTTATTGTCGAAGAAAATATCGTGTAGCGAAATTTTTCCATTCGATAACGCTGTTTACACGATCATCTAAATAGTCGGCATTTAAATAGTCAAACATCTTTTATTTGTAGGCTTTGGCCGAACTTTCTGTGTAACGCGATTATTAGAGTTTGTTATCAGAGTCAATATGGCTGTATTATCTGGTGGACCTTGAGACTATTAATAAAACAGGTTCAAACTTCCTGAATAGCAAATTCAGGAGGCAGTGGGGGTTTTGGGATTTGGGGATATTGGGAATTTGGGGGTTTGAGAATTTGGGGAGCTAAGGATTTGGAGATTTAGGGATTCGAGGATTTAGGGATTCGGGGATTTTGAAATTTGGGGATTTAGGAATTTTAAGGTTTAAGTATTCGGGGATTTAGGGATTCGGGGATTTAGGGATTTGGGGATTTAAGAATTTGGGAATATAGGAACTTGGGGATGTAGGAAATTGGGGGTGTAGAAATTTGGGGATGTGGGAAATCGGGAGATATAGAAATTTGGGGGCGTAGGAATTTGGGGATATAGGAATTCGGGGGTGTAGGAATTTGGAGATGTAAAGATCTGGAAATGTGGAATTGGGGAATGATGGAATTGGGGAATGTGGGAATTGAGGAATGTTGGAATTGGGGAATGATAGAATTTGGGAATGATGGAATTGGGGAATGATGAAATTGGGGAATGGTGGAAACGGGGAATGATGGAATTGGGGAATGATAGAATTTGGGAATGATGGAATTGGGAAATGATGGAATTGGGGAATGATGGAATTGGTAAATGATGGAATTGGAGAATAATGGAATTGGGGAATGATGGAATTTGGGAATGATGGAATTGGAGAATGATGGAATTGGAGAATAATGGAATTGGAGAATAATGGAATTGGGGAATGATGGAATTGGAGAATAATGGAATTGGAGAATGATGGAACTGGAGAATAATGGAATTGGAGAATAATGGAATTGAGGAATGATGGAATTGGCAAATGTAAATATTGAAAAATGTAGAAATTGAGAAATTTGAAATTGGAGAATGTTGGAATTGGCCTAGTATTCGAAAATTTATAATTTCGGGGATATATAAATTCTACAGTATAATGATTCTAAGATGTAGTAATTTAGAAGTGTAAGAATAAATGTTCGGATACGTAATAATTTGAGAATGCTGAAATTCACAGATTCAGAAATATATCTACCTATTTAAAAGTACAGTAATTCGAAAATCTAAAAATTCATTAATATAAAAAAATCTTGAAATTCGCATAAAAGACTTGATTTACAGCTCCAAGGATACAAAAACCCAGTTCAAAGCACTCGTAATTCCAAATCCTTGAAACGTTCCATAAATTAACGAGGCATATCGACCTCGATATCAAACCATTCACGCCCAACATTCAAATAAGAAATCAAACAATTGTTATACTCTAACAAGTAAAATTCAAGGATAAAAAAGCAATTAGCATCAAATAATCTTTTGCACGAGCAAAAGATTGCATGAATCCCTTATCGTTACAACAATCGTTTCATTAGAAGTCCAGCAATTTCCATTAGAAGTCCAACTTTGATCTTCCGGGTGTCGTTCACGAAGCACGTTTCCGGTACTCTCTCACAACGGAAAAAACAGAAGATCAAAAAGTAAAAGTCGTTGATATCCTCGGGCAATTCACCAAATAAAGTCAAGCGAAGTTTTACAGCGTCTGTGACGATTATTCTTACGTTTCCGACTTGGAGCCGTCCGTTTCAGGAAACTGGATTTCATACGGTTTCTAGTGAACGGCACGAAAATTGCTAAGAAACTGGTCGCGAACGCATGAAATTCCAGCTGGAACTTTCTATCGTTGATTATATTCGACGAAAGAAAGAGATTCCGTTTCATCTGCAGACGCGAAGTCCCACTGTTTTGTTCCGCTACGGAAATGGAAGGAAGATTTCTCGAAGGACAATCGTTGACGAGACAGGAATGTGGCTGACGGTTCCTTTCATTGTTATGTAACGTTTTTGTGTGGAATTTGTGAATAGAGATCTGTTGGAGACAATTTTTAAGCTGTATTACTCGTATGGTTTATTTTTTCTTGACGTCATCTGGTGTGACGCGTTTATGTGGTAGGACAATAAGAGGTTACATGATGAGTTAGTTCTTGAGGAATTGGGGATGTAGGGATTTGGGGATGGGAGGAGTTGGGGATGTGAGGAGTGGGGGATGTGAGGATTTGGGGATGTAGGGATTTGGGGATGTGAGGATTTGGGGATGTGAGGATTTGGATATGTGAGGATTTGGAGATGTGAGAATTTAGAAGTGTAGAAATTTGGGGGTGTGAGAATTTGGAGATGTGAGGATTTAGGGTTGTGAGAAATTGGGGATGTGAGGATTCGGAAATTTGGGAAATTGGGGGTGTGAGAATTTGAGGATGTGAGGATTTGGGGATGTGAGGGAATGTGGGAATTGGGGAATGTGGGAATTGGGGAATGTGGGAATTGGGGAATATGGGAATTGGGGAATGTGGGAATTGGGGAATGTGGAAATTGGGGAACGTGG